ATATATATTAAGCTTCTTTGGAAAACATTCGATACTCAAGGTCTTTTTCTGAGTCTTATTTGATGCGCCATACTCACCTATGAACTGATCATTGAGTACATGACGCGTCACAAAAATGATTCTAAGGCCGCTCGAAATGGGAGAATGATTTCGAAAACGACGCGGGCCGCTCACGTAAGACCATGTCAGCGTTAATGGAGTACTGCGAGCCTTAACTCCCAAACTGTTAACCTTAACTACGTTCTCGTTAAGGTAAGGCTTATATAGTTCTCAGGAATATAACTTTAGAATAACATTAATTGATTTAGCAAAGTATAAAGTAGTATTGTGCTTGTAGTGAGTGGCAAGTCTTAAATACTGTTTTCATGACTTACTGCCCCAGAACAGCGAGAACATATACCGTTTCGTATATTTTTACAGTATGAACTAATTCAGGGGTTGTATATATCAATGAGAGTTTATTCATAGAAGTCGATGTCTGCTTGTTGAATGATTTTCGGGCCTTTCTTTCTTTTACTATTTCTACGTTTTCTAAGCTTGAGTGCGTCTGCGCCTCTTTAGAATTCGGAGTTAGTGTTATCACGGGCCTTGGTAATCAAACAAAAATAGAAAAAATGTACTTCTAATGATATAAAGAGCAAATATTGAACAATGCTCGTTAGCAATAATAAGTCCAGCATTATCTTAGCGTCGAGAAGTTTATTATGTGTGGTACGCTATCTTTTATATGAGCAGCCCTTTGCCGCGTGCATATACAGAAAACGATAATTTTTTCAATTCAGCTCGTGCGCGTTTTAAGCAAAAAACAATGTCGCAGAACAATGCCTTGTCCGCTTTTGATTACATGATGTAAGACCGATTCTGAACGTTTGGACTTCTATTTAGAAGTGGGTCATAAAAAAAAAAAGGTGTGAGAGATTCACCTCTTTTTCCTGGTGCAATTTTGCTTATCAGTCCGTTCAGTGGCTGTCTTAGTTAAGCAAGATATTGAAGAGAGACTTGTTTTTTATTGACACAGACCAATTATAAAAAATATACTACCGAGATCAACACCCACATCAGATCCTTGTCGCACAAGTTACAATATGTAGGGTCAGTAGCAAGCTCTGGAACTTAATTAGTAAAATTGTACTTACTTCTATTTCAAATAATTGCACGAACTTCATTGTATATCATATCAAAGCGTCCCCACCGTATGCTTAGCTTTGATTGCAGTTGATATGCACCTAGCTGATCCTGGATTTATCCATTTTCAATACCGTTCTTTGGAGTTAGTGTGTCTAGTCGATCGAGTACGTGAATGTCGAACCGACAAAAAACCAAAGGGTGCTTATATGGCCTTCGTACCGACAAACTTCAAGGCCATGAGGCCCAAATCCGCTCACCATGAATTGCTCTTCCGCACATCGTTGATGTTACCATTCGTTCTCAGCAACCGTTGTTGTCCAACTAGCTTACAGGACAGGGTTATGGAAGCAATTCCAGTCGACAGATGCATTGTTTGCGTCCTCGAAGTTTACGGGCGCACGTATATCCATGAAAGAAGGACTATAGCTATCCCAAAGTAAGACACAACAAAATTGCTTGGCCCATTACTAAGCTCATCATTTTCAGAGCCATTCCTAGGCTTGTTCGTGGAATCTATTACGGACATTAGACGAAGGAAGGACAGGCAAAACGAAATACGAGTATTTTACTTTCACAAATAATTAACCTTTTTGGCTGCGTTATTGATGTTTCTATTAAGCATAGATTTATATTAATACGAAATTTGCTAAAATAATGCTTCCATTTGGACTGTATATGGTATCAGATCATATAGATACCTAAAAGATAATGATCTTTGTTGTCGAATATGCGGGCAGCATTGCATTACATCAAGCAGCTGTTCCCGCCGCGCAGCCTGCGTTCGGCTCTTATTTAACCTACACAATTCATATAACTATACGAGCCAACGTTGTTCTGTTGCAACAGACATGATAAGCCGGTAATGATATGATAATCTTCATTATTATCATCAGCTATATAATAGATAAGCCTGCACTTACTGGTGACGAACTGATAGATGGCGCGGAATCCCTTGACAGGTTGACTGGCAGTAGCGTGACTTTGGAATATAACTGTCATCCGATGTTCGTTGCTCATGATTTGTACGGGCAGCGTATTACCGCAAAAATTATCCACCCGCTCGCGTTGGCCTTTTATTGTTATAAATACGACCACGGAGTCCACGTTTTCACAACTGGAATAAGAAAGCGTAGAGAAAAGAAAGTAAGCGGGACGAACGAGCAAAAGTTAGATACCTGTGTGAACGCTTTAAATCAAGTTTCGACTGACACAACGAAGCCGCTTTGTGTAATGCACGCAGGGCAAGAACGACAATCTTCCAAGTCGATTTTAACTGCAGTAGTCTTCAATTCGTGGATGAACTGTCTGCCGTCACCTTCCACCGTAGTTGGAGCCAGTAGAGTGGGGCCCTATGGGGGAAAAAGATGCGACACGACGGGGAGACGAGGAACAAGAGGGAAGGCGATAAAAGTCGAACGAAGAAGTCGCTAGACTTAAAAGTTCCTAAGGGAGCTCTTCAAATGTTTAGTCACATCGCATCCCGTCACTCTAGAGGTAATTAAGCTCACAGAAGTTAGTGCTACTCCAGCAAACGTTATCCTTGTGATTCTGGAAAAGGACTTCATGGACGGGCTAGTTCTTTACAATCGACGTTATTCGGTAGAAGAAGCTTAGAGTGTATATGCATATAGCGAGTGCACTGGCAGTTATGTTAGAGTTACATGATGACCGCTTCTTACGTAAGCACAAATTAGCAGTAAACATAAGTAAATTAGCGGGCTGTAATAATATTTCAAATGAGCTCGCAAGATACCTTGGTGATACTTTTGTAGTAATTAAACTTTTATCGTGGATTTAGAACGAAATTTTCGTGGACGATTACACGCTAGATGTGGCTATCAGTAATGGATAATACGCTATAGGCAGTATCACCCCATTTATAAGCGTCAATACAAAACAAAGGGGTGCCTGCTGTCACGCATCAAGTGCCGACGTTAGAATTTTTGACGAGGGCTCAATGTTACTTTAACAAATGTTCCGGGATTGGAAGCACTGTCTCGGATACGCACAAACGATGAAACTGAATCGGGACATTGCATGTCACATATAAAGATTAGATTCCTTATTATAAGAAAATATTATTAGAGCGTCCTAATTTCGTCCTAACATGCTTCGCTTTGTTGATTCTCTAAGTAGTAAAGAAAGAGGATAGTAATGCTGCATCACAGATATTGCGTTGCATGGATGTTCATCCCTTCCCGTCCTTTTCTGCTTTACGGATAAGTAACTTTGTTCATTGAGCTTGCTTTCGTTAGATCAAGCAGAGGTAGCCTTGTGGTCGACAGTTGCGCGTTCGGCTGTTTTAAAAAGCAGGACTGCGAATTTTGAACGATGCAGGTGACACACGCGTGGACATTTTCGCATCTTTTGTCACTATAGATGTTTCCTCAAGCAACGTCATGACGAGCACAGGCTACGTTCATGTGCAGACATTACTGATACCGGCAAAGTTTTTCTCATCATCGCGATGGACGATTTGTGTGTGCAATTCACGAAAAAACTAACATTAACCTTCCTGCCGAAAGTACTTGTCCATGGGGACTTTTTCCTCATTGTTCCCCCCCACTTCTTCTCAATACGTCATTATTATATAGTCTTATGAAATGGGGTGTATGCAGGAATAATACCGACGACCATTTTGCGTTAAGTGGGGTAATTTACAGATGCGGCGGTAACCCTTACTACGGTGAAGCTAGTTTGCGAGTATTCTACACGGCCTAATAATTAGGTAAGACCAGTCAGCTAGCACCTTGCTGATTGCTAAACAATGGAAGTTCGGCCGGTACGCTCTTGACTACATAGATGGCAACGAGCGAAACCACAAGCATCACCAGCAGTAGAGTATATGCGCGTTTTCAGTTGGCTGCTTCCTTTACCGTCAAGTACCGTCCTACGCGCGATGCTCTTGTAGTGTTTGTAAGACCGGCGCAACTGTAGTCCGTCTGGTGTCGGGCTGAAGTAAAAGAACAGGCGTCTCTGTAGTGTTTGACTACATTGTGGTATTGACCATTCCCGATTGGCAATTGTAGATACTGTTTGCAGCAGATGGAATGGATTCGCAAATATACGCACCTGTTCATCAGCCAGCAACCAAATACGAAGTTATCCGTTAGTCATGCAACAATGCATTTGTGTTTGTGAAGGGAAACAAATGTGAAGGAATGCCTTGCCGATGTACAATAATTAGTTGCATTTCGAGGCATCTGTCGTACGCAGGTAGGCGTCTACGAGACGAGTCAGTGGCGGACAAAGCGTTACGCTTCTAGGCACGCGTAATGCCTCCTGCACGACCTTGCATGCCGTCATCGCGGCCACTAGCCTTCACTCACAGACACGAATCAGGGCCAGAACGCCTTCCGGCAATGGCGTGTCCAGCCACCGTGTAGCTTGCTCTTAGCTGAAGGCTTGCGTTAGCTCGATGCAGCATTACGGTGATCATCTTGCTACTCCTCCTGTCAGATAACATATTCAGGCATTCGCCTACCCGGAGCCATACACACGCACAGCCTCTCACGGACTAACAGTTGCCACAAATAGAGCTAGGCAAAGGGAGGGAGTGGAGCTACGAGTGCCCAATTAAAGTTGCTGCTGGAAGACGGCCAGAAGGAAGCGTCGTTCATTAAAAGTTCACCAAATTCTACCTCCCGCAGAGCCGTAGCACCATTTCTTCGTTTCGCGTTTCTCACATCTTCCCTCAAGGAGTGCACTAACTTTCATTCACTATTAGTTGTGCCAACCGTGTTCGCTGTACAGGCTGCAATACTAGTGCCGGCGGATGGAAGGCGGCAGCCAGTTCTTTCCTTATGGACCATTCGTTACGCGAAACTAGCCTAACCGTCCAACTACGTCAATTCGCCATTTCAACTTTTCCTTTACGATACCCCCGTTGGCTTAATCCCACCTCGCTGCCAACACAAAAAGCCTTCGTTGACTTCCTCAATTCGCGCAGTTATGTCTTTGGGTTCAAATGGTCTCAATCCAATCTTTTCAGTCTCCGGGACCTCGGGATAAAACAAATCCTAAACAAAATCTTATCTAGTAGCAGAGTATCCTATTTACAGTGACAGGAAGAACGGCAACAACTGTATTGCCGCTATTCTCGCTGTCGACAAAATCGGCGTCTTCGCCGTCCTTTACGCTACATCCGTCTGGCTCTGCTAGTACTATCATGGGAACTGGCACCACAACTAACATCGTTTTCTTGCTTTACTACTCCTACTTCTTGTCCTTAGAGTGTGGGGGTACCCAGCCGTAACTTGGTAGTCATGTCTGCTGCTTCTTTGTTTCGTAACAGTTACATGGTGTTATTGCGATTACCATCACAAGCCGTATTAGCGGTTTTGCTGCTTCTGCTGCCGCTGCCATAGTAGTCGTCCGGACGGCAAAGCGGCACTAACAATGAAGCCATGACGCCTCGCAAAAATGCATGCGAATGATTGCACGGAGAAGACGAGCGTGCACCGAGAGTAATAACAACAATAACCGCTATAACAGCTGTTTCTCTTCTTGCATTTGGCACCGTCTAAACCCCGCAACGGGTTTGCAACGCGAAAACAAGGAGAGATTAGTATAGTAGACGTAGTTAGTGAATGCTGAACAAAACAAAGCAAGAGAGAGCGGTCAAGCGAATAGGAGGCGGGAAACATGCGGAACTTTGTACCTCCACACGTCCTCATACAGCCACCCCTACACTTGTCCTAAAGTTGGGATGAAAGGATAGTACAGTGCGTACGAGTTCTTTAGAAGAGAAGTTCCCGCCGGTTTAATGCTAAGCCAACTTAGTCCTGCAATACCAAGCAGTATCTTTTCTCATTTCCTCTTTCTTTTTTTTGGTTAGCGGGTTTTATGGCTATATGCCAAGCCATATGCTAAGTGCTGTGGATGCTGTCTGTCGCCTGGTGATAGTACGCGACAGTAAGCGAGCGGGTGTCGGGCATATAGGGGCAGAGGCCGAGGACATAGCCGTCCACGACCGGACAGCAACAAGAGATGCGTTTCCCGCAAACCCGAAAGGAGGGTACAACACTATATTATACCCCACTGGTTTGCTCGCTCCGCCTCTGTTACCCTTTTTCTTCGCTCCGCTTGCCTTTTCGAATGTTCGCGTTTGTCCGTGGTTTCGGCCGCACTTAGCGGCATGCTCCATTAATAACGCCCGGTTATCTGCGAAAGGCCAGCACGCCATAGCTCGTTGTTTTGGTTGAGCACTTCGCAGGCCATGGCACGACTGGCCTGTCTCAATCCTAGTTAGGGTAGCAGCCCAGCCAGCAGTAGCAACGCGCGCAATCCTGTCTAGCCACACTTGGGTTTCCGTATGGGCCACTAGCAAGCGGTCCCCGTTCGTCGGACTGCTTCGTGCCAAACGCCACATGCAAATGTAGTCTCGACAGCGACTAGCGACCGATGACTGCAACGCAGAGGCAAAACGATGGAAAGCCTGGCTCCCGCTCCCTGAGCAGTTGTCTGCCCAGAGCTCAGTTCCAACAACGAACGAATCAGCGAAGCGCAAACACATGACCGGCTGAAGCGGCCCGAGAACGAGCAGTCCGTTTTTTCATGTATACTATTGGACCGGTATGTAGTTGTTACCGCTGTTATTGTTGTCGATGTCACTGTTATTGTTGTTATTGTTATTGTTGGAATGCTAACAGTAACAAAAGCATTCGTGCTAAATGTGGGCAACTACCGTACAACCCAGTCTTACTTGACTCATGTTCTTAGACGAAGCAATGACGTGCATAAAGTACATTTTTGCATCTAAAAGGGCACGTTCTCAATCCAGTGCACATAATGACATTCGCATCACTTTAGTCGGGCTTAAGCAAATTTGAGCATGCTTCGTAAAATTACTCACAAAGTCATGAAGGTTTAGCAAGTGTTAGTTCAAGCATCGCGGATTGAGAATAGTTTTTTTTTTTTTTTTTTTTTTTATAGAGAAAATAGTAAGCGGAGAAGATACGCCCATGTCTCCCGTGTATTCTATCTTTCAACATTGCGCGTCTGAAACAAGGCCTGCTATAGATATTAACTAGAAAACGCAGTAATATATAAACAAACATGCATATCGGTCTTGCTAAATGGAAAAATCGCACTACTGAGATGCAATAACTTGCG